AAACCTAAGAACATTGAGCAGAGAAGAAAACAGGTGTATATGAAAACTGCATGCTTAAGTTTGGCTACTTTCTTAGTGTCCACTCCTATTTTCTGGTAAGTCACTAATTATGTTTTGGTGCACAAAGTTTTATTTATAGGTTTCAACAGCGATCTAAAAAGCGGTTCAGGCGGGAGGCCGCCAGTGCCTAGGCGACTTGACAGACTAGGCTCTAGTCAGTTCTAAAAATCGGTAAGAAGCCTAGCTAGGCAGAAATCAATCGAACTAGGCGGCAACTAATTCCTTGAGTTTATCCAAAAAAATGGCTCTATTTTATGCTTGATGTTAAGTACCATGGAGAATAATAATAGTGTTATTTGTGGGTATTTATATCATAGATTTTATTTTGAAACTTGTTGTAAACTTGTAAATATGATTTCTAATGCAATAGTTTTATTCTAAATTTATTTAAAAGTAATTTATTAAATAAAAACCATCCACCTAGTGCTTTGCTGTTGAATCTTCGTCTAATAGCCCTAGTCGCTAGGCACTGCTCTGTCATCTAGCTTCCGAATAGGACCCCCTACCCTGCTTCAGTTACATCCGAACGTAAATTGTCCCGATGCTATCTTCATATACAATTTTCTTTACATCCTCAGAAAATGAGCTAGGAACAATTTCTAAATAAAATACAGTGGGTATATATAGTAGAAACTAAAGCATCAACCAGCCTGTTAGCCTCTCCATATGTTAACTGATCCAATTGTTGAAGCATAACCTGGATCCTTTTCATTCATTTGATTTCCCTGCAAAGGTTGAATGCCAACTCTCCTCATATAGCTTACCACATTTTCTGAGTCAGTCTGTGCTTCTATCTTCCAAGGAATGAATCAAAGACCTAATTAATAAGGACATTTCCTATATCACTGCTCCCTGTGAAACAATTGTAGCTGTTAATATAAACAAATTGTAGAGTGTTGAAGGGGCAATTAAGGGCTGATAATAAACATTTTTGGGCACATATCATGAGATATCACACCATGGTTTCTTTCTCTTTCATTTGAACTGCGCTTATAATCCTCTCACCAGCCACCTTGCATGATGCCATTATAAATTAAATCACTTTACTGTTAATTTTGCCAGTTTTTAAGAAGTGTTCTAAGAATATAGCAAGCAGAGATTGAGAGCTCTATGGCGACTGGGATTAATAATCAGGAATATACCGATGTATTTAAGAAAGCTAATCGTCCAGTAACTCTCAAGGTAAATTTCACTATGAAGTGTTTATATCATAATATAAAATCTTTCCGAGGGAATCCTTCAATATTTTGATTGTTGATGCAGTTTGAAGATGTTGTTTACAAAGTTCAAACTAAGAAAGATGGATGGTTTCGTGGAAAAAGCTCAAAATCTGAAGAGAGAATAATCTTGAAGGGAATCACCGGTTCCGTGTATCCTGGAGAAATGTTAGCAATGTTAGGTCCCTCTGGAAGTGGGAAAACAACTCTGCTTACAGCACTTGGTGGTCGACTTGGTGGACAGCTTCAGGGAAGTATTACTTACAACAGCAAGCCCTTTTCAAAAACAATGAAGAGAAGCATGGGCTTTGTTACACAGGATGATATTATGTATCCTCATCTTACAGTCACTGAAACATTATTCTTCACTGCCCTTCTACGATTACCCAACACTCTTACCAACCAAGAGAAGGCGAGACATGCAGAAGAAGTTATATTACAACTTGGTCTGACTAAGTGCAAAAACAGCATTATTGGTGAGACATATGAAAGAGGCATTTCAGGAGGAGAAAGAAAGAGGGTTAGTATTGGACAAGAGATGTTAATCAACCCAAGTTTATTGTTTCTAGATGAACCAACCTCGGGTCTGGACTCTACTACGGCTCAGAGAATTGTGTTTACATTGTGGGAACTTGCTCGTGGTGGAAGAACAGTGGTGATGACTATACACCAGCCCTCAAGTAGGCTGTTCTACATGTTTCATAAGGTTTTACTGCTTTCAGATGGTAATCCTTTGTACTTGGGCAAAGGAGCTGGTGTGATGGACTATTTTTCCAGCATTGGTTACTCACCCTTAGTAGCTATGAACCCGGGCGATTTCCTTTTGGATCTTGCAAATGGTATCATATATTTCCTAAGTTTTTTGTATTCTGTACATGGCATGGTTTCATGTCAACTTCTACTTTCATCTTTCGAATATAAGAAATTAAATTGATGTCTATAGGTGTCTATTCTGGTGAACCAGAGGAGGACAACATGTCTGTTAAGCATGACCTAGTCTCTGCGTACCAGAACAATGTCGTCAGATTGGAGGGAGATGCTATGGAAATAGGAAGCAGTCAAGTTACAGATATAGTAGAAGATAAGCGATGTGGAAAATGGAACACAACTTGGTGGCAGCAGTTTACGGTGTTGCTGAAAAGAGGTCTTAAAGAACGGAAGCATGAATCATTTTCGACTCTCAAGTTTGCTCAAGTCATAGTTCCTGCTTTTCTAGCGGGACTTTTATGGTGGCAATGTGAAATGTCTAACATACATGATCGGGTACATCTATCCATCTTTATACTGCGTCACTTTTGGTTATTATAGAGGAAATTTTACAAAACAGAGTTAATTTAGGGCAAATTAGACTTACCCAACATATTTTAAGATATAATTAGACTTACCCCACACATTTCAACTTAATTAGAGATACCCCACATATTGCTAACGGATGTTAGTCAAACATTAGTTGACTAACTTTGACCGAGTCAATATATTTATTTTACCTAGAAGTACCAAATATACCCTTTTAACAACCAAATATACCCTTTTAATATACCTTAAAATTAATAATATCTACCTTTTTTTTCAATCAAAAATTCAAACTTATATGCATACTTTCAACTCATCTTCATTTTTTAAGAAGGGATTTGCAAATCAAATTAAAAAAATCTATAATTCATTATATAGTTTAGTGCCTTGATGGAAAATATTTAGTTTGAATTATTTGGAAGATTTTAGTTAATATTTAAAAATGAAATATAATGGAGGGTTTATTATATTTGTTGTGGGTACAATTTGAATAATATTTGAATCATGATAATTTAAAATCTAATTTAACGGCTTATATATTGTAAATTCATCCATATATTTTTTCTAGATTTTTTTTTTCATATTAATTCAAGGGTATATTAGGTAGTTTAAGAGAAAATACAATGTTTGACCAAATTAAAATTAGTCAACTAATGTTTGACTAACATCCATTAGAAATGTGTTGGGTATCTCTAATTAAATTAAAATGTGTGGGGTAAGTCTTATTACATCTTAAAATATGTGGTATAAGTCTAATTTGCCCTTTACTAAAAGTCTTTTTTCTTTTAATTTGATCTTCTATAACTTTAACAGTTTTCATTAACAATCCGTTTCATTGTTGATTGTAGGTCGGGCTGCTTTTCTTTTATTGCGGGTTTTGGAGCTTCTTCCCTTTATTCCAAGCAATCTTTACCTTCCCTCAAGAACGTATGATGCTTACAAAGGAGAGATCCTCAGGGATGTATAGGCTCTCATCCTATTTTATGTCCAGGATTGTGGGTGACCTTCCCATGGAGCTTATACTCCCTACTATATTCGTTATAATAACCTACTTTATGGCCGGGCTGAAGCTTACGCCAGGACACTTTTTCGAGACGTTATTCATTGTGCTTCTAAACGTATTAGTTGGACAAGGCCTAGGTCTTGCTGTTGGTGCACTGGTGATGGATCTCAAAGCTGCAACAACACTGGGATCGGTACTTTGCAACAGTTTTTTGCTTGTTGGTGGTTACTACGTGGAGCGAATCCCAAGCTTTATAGCATGGACAAAGTACTTGTCTATTAGTCATTACACATATAAGTTGTTATTGATGGCACAATATACAAGTGAGGAAACTTATCAGTGTGGCTCAAATCTCAGTTGCAGAGTAGGGAGCTTTTCCATGATTAATATGGTAGGTCTTGATCATAAGGGAATTGGCCTAATGGCCTTGACCATAATGCTTGTAGGGTACAGACTGATAGCATATGCTGCTTTAATGAGGGTTGGAGTAGTGCGTTGAAAGAGGAGCTTTGGTCGAATTCTAGTTTTTGTAATGAAAGGAGATTTTGTTTGTTGGAAGTTTTTTGAGAAAATTCGACTGAGCTCACAACATAAGAACTTTAAGGCATTGGCTTGTTCAGGAAAACACTTAATTAATGTTTTAGGCAACGTACTTACGTGAATTATCAAATTTAGGCAACTTACTTTCAATTCAGCCAATTTTGGCAATGTACTTTCAATTTACTTTCAATTTACGCAATGACTTAATTTCTGTCCAATTTCTCTAACCACACCGTTAACTTTGTCCACGTGTCATGGGACTCCATGCTGACGTGGACATTTTATTTTTGAAA